CGCTACCATAATCAGTCCAATCTCCGCGCAATCCGTTGCCAATACCATCCCGGCTATTTCACCGGTGCGAGTGGCTTGGTCACCACCACTCCCTGCAGTCGCAGTACCAACCCCGTGGTTGGCTGCAGGAGCCTGCCTCAACACTCCTGCATTTGGTGCGTATTCAATTGATGACGACACCTGGTGGGTACGCCCCCCACCAATTGCCGGCACTGGGGCATCCGAATCCCCTGCTGCAGTAACCTTGACTCCATTCGATTTCATTTTCATAATATTATATGGTTTGAGGGGGTTGCCCTCATAGCCAGTCCCTTAGGCCTTATTGTTATGGTTATGTTATGTTAGAGTTATGGTTGCGCTGCCATAACTCTCCGTTTTCACCCAAACGCTACCGCTTATTCATCCATAAAGGCTTATTTCACGGCTACCCTGTATATCTACAGGGTTAACAAGCGTCTGGGCGGCTCATTGTCCGCGACCGCTTATTCGTCAGCCCAAATTAATGGACTGCTTATTTCACGACTAACCTGCATATCTGCAGGCCGTTCCTCTATCCGCAACCTGAGGACGTGCCCGATTCCCCGAGCTAGGGAAACTGCGCTCGTGCCGACGTTTCGTAGCCTCGTAGAGCCCGATCACACAGACACTGTAGCGCAGCGAAACGGGAGTTCTTCCTAATCCAGTAAAACGGAAACCTTTCCTAGATGTGTTCACAGAAACCTGCCACCACTAAAAAAAACACGCTTTTAAAGCACATCGAACTAAAAAGTTATAAGTAATTTTTAAAATAAGCTTAAAACCATAATGAACGAAAAATATTAGTATTATTGTGATAAAAGCGTGGGTGCTTTGTGCCATATTTTTCATATATGGAGCGCCCGACGCTTTTATCTTTTTTTTTCTTAACTTTTTAGTTCGATGTGCTTTAAAAGCGTGTTTTTTAGTTTTTTTAAACTATATTTATTTTTTACTTTTTAGTTTCATGTTATGATAGTAGTTACTATCAATATCATGGTTGTAACCGGTAACGGGAAATCAGAGTTCGATTCCGGGGAGGGAGACTGAGAAACGGCTACCACATCCAAGGAAAGCAGCAGGCGCGTAAATTTCTTACCCCGGAACATGGAGGTAGTGACGAAAAATGACGATACGGGAATCATCCTTTGTAAACGGAATGAATATACTCTACAGGGTGTTCAGTAAGTCAGGAAACGGGTTTCTATTGTTCTCATTGTTTGTAACAATGAGAACAATAGAAACCCGTTTCCTGACTTACTGAACACTCTGTATATCTCTTAATGAGAATAAAGCGTGTTAATATATATTTTTAATAGTAATAGAATATATAAACATGTAAAGCGAAATAAGTACGTAAACGTATCATGCACTAGGTATAGCCTTGTTTATGGGTGGGGGAACGTTATACCTCAGGTATAGACGGCGGCAACGGCGGTAGGAATATATAAATATACAGAATGTTCAGTAAGTCAGGAAACGGGTTTCTATTGTTCTCATTGTTACAAACACCCTGTATATATAATTGATGTCACGCACGCGTGTACGGGTACGAAAACCAAAATTATAAAATTATACAGGATTAGTGTTGTCGTCGTGTGGTAAGCAGGGTGGGGTAAATGCGTTACGACGTCTAGTCTCAAGGTCATAGATACGCGAGAATCATATTCTATATGAATAATTCTATAATAAACAATTATATATCGTTGACCGGAAATAATAAATAAAACTTTTTATAACTTTTCACGAGCCACTTTAAAAACAATATATTATGAAGTAGAAATTATTAGAAGTCTAATAGTAAATTTATTTTACTTATTTTAAAATGAATGCAAGAAACTGTTGGTAACATAGTAATTCAATATTCAATATAAGTAGTTAATATACAGTAGGTCAAAAAAGTCTCCGTACACCGATGTCAAATTTTTTCATCATAAAATAGCGACTCAAAAGTTAAATAACTTCATATTTATAATACACATTTACTCAGAAACATATTAATATTGGTTTTTAGAAAGATGAAGCATATATACTAATTTGTTTACTTAATACATTTATAAATATAAACAATTATAGGAAAATGTGAGCAAAAAAAGTCTCCGTACATTTATACTGCCGTGCTAAGCAAAAACAGGATAACTCCAAAATTAAAAAAAAAATTTTTTTGTTTCTATAGGTAAATTTAGTGGTTTTACGCCGATTTTTGATGTAAAAATAGCATATTTCCTATTAAAACCCATCTAAAATTGAAATATAAAATAAGAAAATGTACGGTAAGTTCAATATATTTGATGTTTTGTAAGCGAAAACACGGTAAATCCAAATAATAAACAAAAACTTGGTATAAAACATAAAAAATAATGGAGTTACCGTCTTTTGACTTATGTTCATACATTGGGAAAAAAGGGTATCTTGATTTACTGTTAAAAATGTTTTTTTGTGTTCCTGAAAAATCATGTTGACTGGAGTTATCCTTTTTTCGCTTAGCATGGCAGTATAGATGTCTATTAATTACAGATAAAAATAGGACTATAATGGGAGAAACCCATATAGACTTATACATATGGAGTACCACATATCTGCGGGCATGTCATTATTGTTTCTGTAGCCATTAAGGGCGGTAGACAAACGCTTAGCGCGTTTTATTCAGTTTATACACATTGAACAATGAAGATACCTATTGAAATTCGCAAATTAGTAATTAAACTAAGAGAAGATGGTAATTATCTTAGAAATATTGCGCAAACAATAAATAAATCACATTTGNAAATATTGCACAAACAATAAATAAATCACATTTGACTGTACAATTTATAATAAACCGATATAATGAAACTGGTTCTTTCGAAAATCGAAAACGTAGTGGTCGTCCCCAAAAATTAAAATCTCATTACAGGAGGGCTATACTAAGAACAGTTGAGACGGAACCAAAAACAATTGCACCAAAACTTGCTGGTATGATTGATAATGACTATAAAGCGGGCCATACACTATCAATCAAAGAATGGCAATCGTAATGAATGATAGTTCGATTGATGACTGATGATTGCCATACACATACAACCAAGAATGACAGTTCTCATAAAAAATTGAAAAATTGCTCGTCGCACATTTACATGTGGACATGCCGGTTTTTGACTGATAAGTCATCAATCAATCCTATACACTATCATTCAGGAGTGCCAATCTACTCGAATGACAACAAAAAATCAAACATGACTGAAATTCGTCAATCAAAAAATTTGATTGTCAATCTACATCATTCTTACCTATACACAGTCAGTCTTGACTGCCAATCAAGAAGACTGTCATTCAAAATGCATAGTGTATGGCCCGCTTAATGTAAAAGTTGAGACAATTCGTAATGTCATTAGAAACGCAGGATATAAAGGTTGTGTAGCTAGGAAAAACCCTTTTATCAGTAAATGAAATAAAAAAATAACGTTTAGATTTTGCGAAGGCACACATAAACAAGGGAAATGATTTTTGGAAATCTGTATTATTTAGCGATGAAAGCAAATTTAATATTTTTGGGTCAGATGGGCGAGTTATGGTGTGGAGAAAACCTAACAAGCAAATGGATTGCAAAAATTTGTGCCCGACTGTAAAACATGGGGGTGGTAATGTATTAGTTTGGGGCTGTATGAGCGCTGCAGGTGTTGGTAATTTGGTATATATCGATNAGTTTGGGGCTGTATGAGCGCTGCAGGTGTTGGTAATTTGGTATTTATCGATGGTATAATGGATCAACATGTTTATTTAAACATTTTGAGAAATAATTTGCATGCAAGTGTTGAAAAACTAAAAATTGGCAATTCGTTCATTTTTCAACAAGATAACGACCCAAAATATACCGCGAAAAAAGTGAAAGAATGGTTGTTATACCGTGTATCAAAGCAACTTAACACACCTCCGCAATCACCAGACATGAATCTTATAGAACATTTATGGTTGAAATAGGTAGACGTCTAAAAAATTATCAAAGTCGAAACAAAGAACAATTGAAAACAGCAATTCATGAAGTATGGAACAGTATTGACTCAGCTGTTACATTAAAATTAGTAGAATCCATGGAAAAACGTATGAATGAAGTTCTTAGGGCTAAAGGAGGGCCAACTGATCATTAATGATGATTATTATTATAATTTATTAAGTTAAAAATATTATGTTAATTTGTACGGAGACTTTTTTGCTATTATTTTTCTAAAATTGTTTATATATATATATGTATAAAGTAAACTAATTAATATATATGCTTCATTTTTTTTTTAACAAATATTTATATGTTTATGAATAAATGTGTGTTACAAATATGGCGTTATTCAACTTGTGAGTCACTATTTTATGTTGTTGAAAAAATTTGACATCGGTGTACGGAGACTTTTTTGACCCACTGTACATATAAATGGTTTTTTTTTCTCATGGTTCAAATAAATCAAATTTATAATATATATATTAAACATATGTACTTCTAATATTAAATAAAAATATCATAATATATTATAAGCTAAACACTATGTGTGTAATATTAAAACCTGCCTATTTGAACGAAAATAAATTAACAATTTCATAAATTTCAGTCAAAATTATTTTTTAATGGAAAACTGTTATTTTTTTACATCACTATTTTAATTTTAGAACTGTACGTTTAAATACGTCCTCATTTTATAGCTTTTGTAAATATATATATATATTTGTAGTTATGAACATATCTTATTCATCAATTCGTGTTTAATAAAATAATTATACATAATTACTATTTAAAGAAAATATTTTTTTTTATGATGTAATAAATATATATTTAAAATATATTATATTTCGAACAGCTATAACATATTATTTATAATTTTTAAAAAGCCTTAAATATGAAATATGAAAGAAAATAAATCGTGTTGCAAATAATATTAAGATTCCATAATTTATTTTGCAGTCTTAATTATGAATTTTTATTTTGTTATAATAACTTACATTTTTCTAAATTTGAATTTCGTAAGTATAAGATAAAATATAGTATACACGATAATATTTCGTAAGGTTTATGGACAGCGGTCGGGATAGAAAAAATTTTTCCTACCTGAAAGTAATGTACACCTTCAACAAATTTTTCTTTTTAATATGCTTCAAATTTGCATTGAAACGTTTTACGATATTGAGAATATATCACATTTCGAACAGCTACAAAAAATTATTTACATTTTTTAAAAAGCCTTAAATATGAAAGATAGAAGAAAATAAATCGTATTGAAAATAATATTAAGATTCTTCAATTTATTTTTCAGTCTTAATTATGAATTTTTATATTGTTATATTAAACTACATTTTTTTAAATTTGAACTATGTAAGTACAAACATGTGGTAAAATGTAATGTAAATGATAATAGTTCGCAAGGATTATAGATATTTTATTAAAATCCCCTTAATTTTAAAAATTCAAAAAAACATTTCAAAAGTACTGTTCTGTGGGAGCTTATAAGACATATCAAAATTAAATTCATTAAATCAGAATACCTGCAGATATCAACTATGTCACGTCCCTTCCGTGTTGGTTTTTTTTATCTTAAAGTACATTGTATTAGCTTTAATTTAATGTAAATTTTGATGTAATCATTATTAAATTACATAAATATAATATTTGTTTTTACAGACGCGGGAAATTTCGGCAGGAACTAATGATGTAAACAAATTGAAAAATTGTTTCTTTTCCCGATTCATGACCAACAATATCTACAAATATGAGAGTAAATAAATTAGATTAAATAATTTATGCAACAACAAATAATTGAAAAAAATAATTTAAATATACTGAATGAACTGATTTATTTTAAAAAACTATACAACTGATTAAGCGAGGGGAAGGTGCCTAAAATTTTTCATTTCAAATTTGTTTCGAAAATGCTGTGTAATTTAAACTAATTTTCAATTAAAGCTCTTTTAATGTAATTTAGTTAAGAAAAAAAAATGTTCAATTACTTCTTTTCAAATTATAAACTATCAACGTCATAAATGTATAAATACAATTCTTTTATTATTTAGTTTGAAGTAATGTATTATTAGTCGTTATTTTTCATTTCTTATTAAGCATTACACGTTTGTTTACATTTTACACAAATTCCTATATTTTTAGTAGTTATAACGTTATTTAAGTAGTTTCAAGCTCTGGTTTAAAATAGGTATTGGAGATGATTTTAGTTGATACCATGCACAATAAATTTAAGGAATAAAATAAAATGGTAGCCAAAATATATATACCCACGATAACTTATAAAAATCATGCGTATGGGGTTAAAAACTGTGGCACAGTGGTGACGAGGTACAGTGGAGACGTGACATAGTTGGAACAATATCATATTCTTCCAACTACTACTTCATCCACCCGAACTATAACCTGTATCTTACTTCCTCGTCAACACCACTGTTCTTTTGCACAACTATATAATTAAAACTTTCCACCTTTTCTAGTGTCGAGATAAATAAATAGAAAATATTTTTAAGGGCTAAATAAATTTATCTTTTTAATATTATTATCTAATTGATGGACTAACTTCTCAAACTTTTATTAGAACACGACAAAAAAAAACAAGTCATTGAAAACTTGATCCGACTTTCTATACTAAGGTATAGTTTTGCCTATGGAACAATTAGTAACAAAATCCTTTAAATTAATATAAAAATATTTATGATTTATTATTAGGTTACGAGGAAAATATTAATAAATTTATTTAAATTTCAAAAATGAGCAAAATACATTGCCAAATTACATTACTTAAAAATTTTAAATGCTTGCAGGTAAACAGAAAAAAATTTTTGACCTTCGTCAATATTTTTCCGTTAATTTAATAATCACATGTTTTTGTAAAAAAAAAATTAAAACTCAAAGCAAGCTATGCAATTTCCCTAGCAAAGCGTTTCTTGTTTTATATAATAATCTTAATAATTATATAATTTCTTTTTTAATTTTTTAAAAATCAAATTAATTACCCTTAAAAGTTTTAATTGAATAATAATTAAAATTTTTACAGAAGGTGATTTTACATTGGAATTTTATAATTTGGTTGGAAAATATCAAAATATGATCCTCCAACATAAAGGAAATTACTTCACAAAAAGTTATTTTAGAAGTGAAATGGAAAAACTAATATGTGATGAAAGTATGACAGAGAAAGAGGTTAAGAATACATGCAAATTAATAGTCATGGAATGTTGTGACGATTTTATAGACGACATTAAACAGTCGCCTTTTTATTATGGCAAAGAATTGGCAAATTCTGTAACATCAACTATAATCAATAATATAAAAAAAATAATACCACCTAATAATACAGATGAAAAAAGCGATATATCATAAGTTTAAAACAAAACTATTACGTATCACATTTTTTTTTAGCAAAATGTATTAACTCATTTTAATTTATAAAATAGTAAAATAAATAAAATGTTTCAAATAAATGGTTTTTTAAATTTAGTTTATAAGTAACACAACATGTATTCCAAAATCCCAGCTCAGAGGAGTCGCGGCATAGTGTTGACGTGGCATAGTTGGATCAAGTATAATGATATCTGACAGTGATTAAAATCACTATAACAAAAAACACTTCGATGCAAATCTTTAGATAGTGTTTAATTTTAAAAAATTGGTGGATTATTCCAAAAGCTACATAATCTGCTAGTTCCTTATTAATATCCTGATTAAGATAAAGTATATCGAATGAATAAGAGATTATTAAAAAATATTATTTCTCATAGAAAAATTATGTTGATTTGTTCATTTTTGAAAAAGTAATGGCAGTTTTAAGAAAAAAAAATTGAAAAAATGTCGAAAATTAGCCATTTATAAATTTGTAATTTTTTTGAAGGTTTCCCCCATTTACGGGGAATGAGGGAAAGTTTTAATTTTTGAGGGTCATGTCTTAAAATATATAAAATGATAAGTTAATATCTAAGGTATCTATAAAAAAATTATATTAATTAGATTATTTTTAAAAAAGTTATGGCAGTTTTAAGTAAAAAAAACCCAGCACAGTGGGGTCGCGGCATAGTGGGGACGTTGCATAGTTGGGTCCAGTATAGATTTAATCTGACAGTGATTAAAATCACTATCATAAGAAACGCGTCGATGCAAATCTGTAGATAGTGTTTAATTCTAAAAAAATGATGGATAATTACAAGCAACATCAACTTCTATTTCCTTGTTTATACCCAGATTAGTAATTCTTTTAAATATATATTATATAATTTTTATATTGTATTGTTTTCAAATTATTATTGATATTGATTTTTAATATATTAAAATAATTTTTAACCTTCTTTATTTCGTCCTTTAAAGTGAATGTTTATAATAAAAAAAAAAAAATTAATTTATTACCATAACTTTTAGCTCAACTTACAAGTTTGAAATTGATATTATTAAATAGAAAAAAATGAAATTGTTAAGATTAATATGCAATCAGGAAATTTTATAATTACTATTTGCAGCACATTTTTCAGAAAAATTCAATTTTTTTGCATTTTTATCGTAATAGATAACTGAAATAGAAATAATAGTAATCATTTCCTAATAACATTTGGTGTTTAAAAAGATTCTACAATGGAAATATTTAGAACTTAATTAATTTTAATGATTTACTTTAACTAAATGAACCAAACAAAACAAAGTTGTTAAAAAGATTTATTCAATTGAACGTATTATAAAATTTGATTATANTTGTTTGTATGGACAAATCTAGTTAAGCTACTTTTTATTTGAATAAGGAATATTTTTTTGATTTTTAAGAGTAATAACTTAAACTAATCATTAACTTAAATATCATAAACTTAAATGAATCATTTGACGTATCGTTGAAAAAAATAGGTCTGGGTTGACAAAATAAATCGTAGCGNAGTAGGTCTAGTGAGGGTTGGCAAAATAAATCGTAGCCAGAAAAAGAACCACATAGTAAAATAATATTAACATGAATATCAATTTCTTCTCACGAGGGGAGACTATAGTAATAAGATCCTTTATATTTATTGAAGTTATTGAATCTAAATGAGATAAATATCAAATGATTTGAAAATTTTACTCTAACTCAAAAAAAAAATGCAAAATATTAAGAGTCACAGACGGACGGACTTGAACCTCGTACCCTAAGAGTGAAAGATTCAGATGTTACCCATTCGGCAACTGTTCGTTGCTTTTGTCGCATGATAAAATTGGCTATTTAAGCTAACTCAAATTTAAAAATTACTTTTTCGACTTTAGAAAAGGAAAAAAATTTTAATAAGTTTAATTTCGTATGTCTTATGAACTTTATTCTATGTCAATTAAATTATATAATATTCATGAAAGTCAGTGTATTCACCTAATAAGATATTTTAAAATAAAATAAAATACAAAACAGAATTTTAATAAAAAAAATAGCATATTTTTGAATACAGTAGCAATTTGCGCATAGAAGATAGGTCGTCGGGACAAATTTTTTTTTTTAATTCTATAAAACATGACATAAGCTTTAATTTGATATATATTTAAAATACGCAGTATTTCCGGAACATTTTCAAAAGTCAAATTAAAAAAGTTGCTATTTTAAATCCCCCCTGTGAGCAGAATAAGTGTTAGATTTTCAAAAAAAAATGATATCAAATGAAAGAAAATTACCTAAGGTTTCAATATAAAGAAATATTATTTTGATTAGTTAATATTTGAAAAAGTTATGGCAGTTTTAAGTACAAAAAACATCGTTATAAAAGGTGATTTTTATCGCAAATATTACATTTTTTTTATAATTTCGACTGCCATTTGCACATAGAAGATAAGGTGTCGGGACAAATTTTTTTTTTTCATTTTATAGTACATAAAATAAGCTTTAATTTGATATATGTTTAAAGGACGCAGTATTTCCGGAACATTTTCAAAAATTAAGTTGAAAAAGTTAGTTTTTGTAAAAAAGTTGCTATTTTAAATCCCCCCTGTGAGCAGAATAAGTGTTAGATTTTCAAAAAAAAATGATATCAAATGAAAAGAAATTACCTAAGGTTTCAATATAAAAAAATATTATTTTGATTTGTTAATATTTGAAAAAGTTATGGTAGTTTTAAGTACAAAAAACATCCTTATAGAAGGTGATTTTTATTGCAAATATTACATTTTTTTTTAAATTTTGACAGCAATTTGCAAACAGTAGATAAGGTGTTAATAATAAAATAAAATAAATAATGATAAGGACAAATTTTTTTTTTTTATTTTATAGTACATAAAATAAACTTTAATTTGATATACGTTTAAAGGAGGCAGTATTTCCGGAACATTTTCAAAAGTTCAGATGATAAAGTTCTATTTTTTATACAATATTTCAAGTTTTGAACGCCCCTATATATGGGGAAATTGTCCAATTTTAATAAAAGTATGTCAAATGAAAGATGTATTTATAATGTATTTAGAAAAAAAAATTTGTGCTGATAATTACATTTTTCGAAAAGTTATAGCACTTTTAAGTTGAAAATTTAAAATCGAAAATTTTAACACAAAAATAGCGTTTTTTTAACTACGGCGACCGTTTACATGCAGAAGATAAAATGTCGGGACAAATTTTTTTTTTTCATTTTGTAGTACATAAAATAAGCTTTAATTTGATATATGTTTAAAGGACGCAGTATTTCCGGAACATTTTCAAAAATTAAGTTTAAAAAAGTTAGTTTTTGTAAAAAAGTTGCTATTTTAAATCCCCCCTGTGAGCAGAATAAGTGTTAGATTTTCAAAAAAAAATGATATCAAATGAAAGAAAATTACCTAAGGTTTCAATATAAAGAAATATTATTTTGATTAGTTAATATTTGAAAAAGTTATGGCAGTTTTAAGTACAAAAAACATCGTTATAAAAGGTGATTTTTATCGCAAATATTACATTTTTTTTATAATTTCGACTGCCATTTGCACATAGAAGATAAGGTGTCGGGACAAATTTTTTTTTTTCATTTTATAGTACATAAAAAAAGCTTTAATTTGATATATGTTTAAAGGACGCAGTATTTCCGGAACATTTTCAAAAATTAAGTTGAAAAAGTTAGTTTTTGTAAAAAAGTTGCTATTTTAAATCCCCCCTGTGAGCAGAATAAGTGTTAGATTTTCAAAAAAAATTATATCAAATGAAAGGGAAATATCTAAGATTTTAGTATAAAAAAAAATTATGATGATTTGTTTATTTTTGAAAAATTTATGGAAGTTTTAAGAAAAAAGAGTGAAAAAAATGACAAAATTTACCGATTTTTATATTTGTAATTTTTTTGGATATCTCCCCCATTTACGGGGAACGAGGGAAAATTTTTCAATTTTTAAGGATATTGTCTTCAACTAGATACGATTTGTGATCTTTTGACGTATTGTTGAAAGAAATCGGTCCAGTGAGAGCTGAGAAAAAGTGG